AGTTATTCCAAATTGCACTCGAAATCATGTGATTACCTGTACAAATTGCACTCCACTCAGTTCAATTACCATTGTTGATTAACAAATGGTAAACAACACAGCGCACGCTATTGAGTTATGATGAGCGCGGGAGGTTGCTAAGCACAAAAGAAGCGTCAGAGTCGCGCGAGGCGATAGCCGAGAGCGACTCAGCAAACCTCCCAAGTGCATCCATAACTCAATAGTGTACGCTGTGGTGTTTACCATTTGTTTTATAACATAACATTGATACATTATAGCAAAAGAGTTCCCTTTTATTTAACAAATCTTACATGACCAGAAAAAAACAAGCGCGCGCAGAAAAATAGTCTTTGCATTTGCTCACGTCAGCAGCGTACACTCATGGACAAATGGAGGACACTGAATTGACCAATCAGATTGCGTGCTTTGCTTTGGTTATGTTATAATTATAACTATTCTTCTTTGTAGTGATGACAACTTAATTGGGAGCAATGATGAGGATGGAAGTGATGCAGATCTTTATCCTTCAGATGAGGCTGACGAGTCAGATGATGGAATGTCGTATTTTGAGGAAGAGGAAACTAAATCAAGATTTACAAACTATTCCATGACATCATCTGTAATAAGAAGGAATGAAGGTTGGGAAAAACAAAAAGTATTATTTTAAAACTCCTTTTGCAAGTTTTAGTTTAAGCTTCTAATGCTGTGGCACACAGACAGGCAGAAATGAATGGACAGACAGATTGACGCAGTTCAAAAAGATTTATCAATAGCAGAGCGACAGATGGTCACGGAGGGAATGAAGCAAGGCGACAGACAAGTAGACAAACAGAGTGACAAGAAGACAGACAGGTAGTCAGACAAAAAGACAGAGAAAATGGACAGAGAGATAGATAGACAGAAGACAAAAAAACAAACTAACAGTTGAAAATCATCAGGGAAAAGCAAAGTTGTTATATCAGTGAACATTTTGTCAGGGAACTAATAATATATATTATAGTTTATATATCTCAAGTATGGTTTTTTTTTTTTTCTAGGTTTGCAACTTATTGATGAAAGATTTGAAAAGGTACCTTTTATATTGGAAACCCTTCTTACAATAATGATATTACATATAATATCATTACAATAAATACTGTGATATCACTTACATACTTAGTAGTACTTGCGAAACTATCATGATTTGCAACTGATGTTCATCCTTTACAAGCAAAAATGACCATTGACTTAAAAAATGTCACTTAGGGGTTTCATGGGTATGAAGATGGCTGATTAGGCCAATCTTCACAACTATACTAATGTATATAAACTTATATTTTTTAACTTACATATTAAAGGGGAACTGAAGCCTAAAAATGAACCATTTTTAAGTTGCAGCTTATAGTTCAAATAGTAATGTTCGAGGGTTTTTTTCAGTCTTTGGGCCCAACTTTGCCTCGGAAAAATAGTTTAAAGTGGTATTTTGGCCTCGTATTGCGGCGGCTCAGAAAAGCAATGTCAGTGGTCATTTTAGCTCGCTCTTGCATCACTGGTGGGGAAGAAAGATAATAAACCTGTACTCTTCCTACAGAAATTTGGTTTGGTTATGGAGTTATCGAAGTTGCGTGACTTGTAATGGGGATTAACTACGAAAATGAAATGGTAACAGTTGTTTTTCCTAAGTTGTTTCCCCACCACAGACGTCATAAACGACTGCTGCTGACCCATTTTGAGCTGACAGTCTTACAGCCCCAAAAGCAAGAAAAAGGCAACTTCAAATTGAATTTTCTCATAAAAAACAAGAAGTGAAGTAAAATGATCATCGACACTTTATCTTACTTCTCTAAAGCTAACTAGAAATGAATGCAAACAATATACCAATTTTAGGCTTCAGTTCCCCTTTAAAATACCTGGTAATGTTTTGAAATTATAAATGAATGGAACTTATGTTGTTATTTGTTATGATTAATATTTATGTTATTAGTTGATGGAGGAGTATGATGAAGATGAAATAGGAGCACTGGATCACGAAGAGCTAGAAGGCACCATTCAGCCAGACAGCAAACGGCTCAATGCTCTGGCTGAAGAATTCATTGAAAGCCAACAAGTACAGGAGTGAGTTCTAAAAAACTGGCAGAGTTAGTGATAATTGATTGATGGGCATTGCATGTTTCCAACAGAAGCAGTGGGCACTACTTAGGGCCCCACACCACCCATTGGGTATCAGCAGGGTTCTCAAGAGGATTTGAAGTAGGTGTCTAGCCAACCTTAAGTAGGTGGCTGTGACAAATTGAGGGACCGTCAACCAGGCTGTGTGGGCCTGGAATTGAATGATTTCACAGGGAAGGGCTGAGCACAGGCAATTGTCACATACCCGGATGTTTATGTCATTGAAAACATGGCAGTTAACACATAACAAAGCACATGCACGTTTCTGTTGCTTTTTGGATTATATTGTACAAGATATGACAAAAAAAAAAAAACTCAAAAGCAACTGAAGGAGGCAAAGTAGGAGACAAAAGCACAAACTAAGAAGAGAAAAGCAAGCAGAACAAAAAAAGGAAGCAGCTTTAAATCCTAAAGTAGGTGGCAATCAATTGCTGGGTGCCACCTTCTTTGGAGAACACTGTATCAGGAAACTTAAGAAGGGTTCATCAATAAGGGTGTGCCGTTTGTGCATCAGAAGTTGTTATTTACTGACTGCAAATTGTTTCTAATAGTTTCTCTGATGTCAAGGAGAGTAAACTGGTCAGAGGTCATGATAAAAATGAAGATAGTGACAGCTCTCCAGATGAACTGGTCAGAGTTGCAGACGAGCCAAAAGAGAAATGGGACTGTGAATCCATTTTAAGTGAGTATGAGTTTTCGAGAATAATTATCAAAACTCCTGTTTTGTGGTTTGAAAGAGTTGGGATTTTTTTCATCTTGAAAAGGCTAGCTCAGTTTTTCAACTTCACCTGTTTAAATGATGTTATGAAGAACAAATTGGATGCCAGGATTTTTTTTGTTTTTGAGACACTGTATGGTTTCAGAAAGAACATATGAGGCCATATTTTCACCTAGTGATACCCTGAGATGAAATAATATCCCATATTTCAAAATAAATCATTAGTTTTTATATGAATACTGGCATTTTTTGTTATTTTGTGATCCACAATTAGTCAGCAGACTGGTGATATTTATTCACTGGTTTAGCGTTACACTTGTGGGACAGTGACTAAGTCACGACTCTTGTAATGGAGCTCCTTGTTTTAAGGTGCATCTGTTAACTTCGGGTGTGACTTTGTTCTTTTGCTTCTTTACAATTTAGTTTGTGTTGTGAACACACGCTCTGAGAAGTAAAGAGACAGTTTTGGATTATAAAAACTCTCTCGCTTTTTTATAAGGGAAGAAATCGATTTGAATTTTTGCCTTTTGACACTTTAATCTAATTAAATTGTAATCATCATATTTTTTAGGTACGTATTCAAACCTCTACAATCATCCCAAACTGATCAAAGACACTCCAAGGGTAATTTACATGTCACTTTATTTACGTATATATTGATTTTAAAAACGTTTCTTTATAAAGAATTATAGGAATTTTGTGACTATTTTCCCAAGTGTCAAAGGCATTCGGTGTATCTATTTAGTGTGATGGAATCAAGAAGACAACTGAAAATTTTCAACTTTTAAAAAATGTCAAAAACAATACGGGATTGTTTGGTTCGTCCAGAAAAATCACAACATTTGGTAAACCAATTAGATCAGACAAAAACCAGTTATGACTTGGTCGCTCGCGCATTCTCACGCTCAACGTTGGTGACGTGTGTTTTCTTTGAGTTCTCATTGACTCTGATATTTGCCTTTGCTCTGATTGGCTTTCCCGCGCTTTACGTCGGTGACGTGTGTTTACTTTGAGTTCTCATTGGCTCCTTGTGATATTTGCCTTTGCTATGTTTGGCTTTCCCGAGCTTTTCATTAGTGATGTGTGTTTGCTTTGAGTTTTCATCGGCTCCTTGTGATATTTGCCTTTGCTCTGGTCGGCTTTCCCGCGTTTTTCGTCGGTGACACGTGTTTACTTTGAGTTCTCATTGGCTCCTTGTGATATTTGTCTTGCTCTGATTGGCTGTTGTGACTGCATCAGTTTTAACTCTACTGGTTTTATTCCCTTTAAGGTGAAACCAATCAAATTATCCAAGGTTGGTATTCCACTTGGTGTGCTTTCACAGCGTGCTGAATCCAAAAAGAACGTGCAGGCTAGCGAACGCATCGATACAGAGGAGACGGAAACGCTTTTTTCTCATAACACTGTGAGAAGCAAAGACGAAACTAAAGAAGAAAAAAAACAAAGGAAACAAGAAGTCAAGAACGATAGAAAGGTTGGTTACAATGAATATATGAAGTTCATATATTTTGAACTGCGGTTATAGATACGTATGATGCACGATCCTCGCAGTAGAGAGCGCTATTTATGCAATAGCGAAAATCAGAAAGGTTGGTATTCGTTTTAACGCAGAAGCTCCCGCTTTCTTTTATACAGGAAACATTGAGGAAACTCTCAGACTTTGCCACTGTTTGTGATTCTTGAAATAAAGCAACTGAAAGGGCTACATCCTCATTTATAGTGTTCTTTATCCCTGATAATCCTTATTCCTTCTTAGCCAAGTGCAACCTCTTTATTTGCGTTTTCTAACTCTGTTGTGGTCACATTAAATCTAAGGGTAATGCTGCAGGTCGTAGTAGTACATCAAAATACGTATCCCATGATTCGTAGTAACCTGTGCCTTGCGTTCTTATCGTGGTATTTATTCATTACAATTGTTTGTTTGTTTCTTCTTTTTTTTTTTTGTCTTAAAGAACTCTGCGTCGCACTTTGCTGTGAGGGCGTTTAGTTTAACGACACTCGCGATGCCAAACGTTAAAGAAATAAACAGAACTAACTGACTTATATTTTTTTCTTTTTTTTTTCTTTTTTTCTATTTTTTGTTACCAGGTGCGACGGATGGAAAAGAAGGCGAATAAGATGGCTTTCAAATGCGAAAAGCAAAGACAAGAGCAGTCCATGCTGAATACAAAACAACAACAGGGAAAGAAGCTCTGATACTTGTACATATTGAAAGGACAATTTCCAAAAACAAAATTCAATTTCCATATACGCCTGTATAATCCCTTGGTTTAAATTTTTAATCCTAGAAGTGTTCTATGAAATGCACGAAAAAAAATGTTTTTCAAATCCTTTATGATACGAAACGCAGCGAGAAATGAGAACAAGAGACCTCTGCTCCTTAACAGCTCCTCAAGCCTTTAGTAGTGCAGGGCTTAGTAATTAGGTGAGAAAGGGAAGGTTCTGTTTCCTTTAGGGGCCGACCATTTAACTTTTGAGGGAGGGTGGGTGATTTTGAAAAAAAATTCCTGCAAGCGCTTGTTGGAAGAAAAAAATTGCTTACAGCCCAAATNGAGAATACTCACGTGATCATACTTTGTGTATTTGGCTGGAGAACGTGCAGTTTTTATCAATAGTTAATACCAGATTAAATGCCTCTGTTAACGCACGTTGCGCGATTTTGGTTGAGCAAAAAACCCTTGAGGAGCTAAGAAAACGACAGTCAAATGTGACCGTGAGACACCAATCACCTACAGAGCCTTACAGATTCTTCTTGCGGCAGACTTGTAAATATTCAATGCTTGGTGAAACTTTCAATAAAAATGTTTAAACCCATAATGTAGTACACTAAGGGAGAAAATGATAGGGGCAACTTTCTAATTACGTTGAGAGGGTAAACGAGTCTTTTTTGCGAAATTTTGATTGTCGAAGCTAAGAAAGTATCATTCATTATCATATTGAAAACAAAACCTCATTAAAATTAACTTTCAACGCACTTTAAAACACGCCTACTACAAAACTAGTTTCGTCCACAGACCTCTTCGAAGCCAAGAAAGTATCATTCATTATCATACTGAAAACAAAACCTCATTAAAATTAACTTTCAACGCACTTTGAAACACGCCTACTACTAGTTTTGTAGTAGGCGTGTTTTGAAGTGCGTTGAAAGTTAATTTTAATGAGGTTTTGTTTTAATATGGTAAACGAGTCTTATCCGTCAATAGTGAATAATACCGAAAAATATTTTCATCCGAAACACAAAGCAAGATTTCCATTGCGCGAAGTGAAATAGTAAAAATGAGAACTCGGTATTCTCACATCATACATAATATTAAAACTGCCTCTTCTACAAAGGCAGGTATTCACCCCTCCACTAGAACACGTTTAAATCGTCAACTCACCCCTCCCACTGAAGTCTAACAGTACTTCCGAAACTGAATGGCGATCGAATTCTTTACCGCTTCCTTTCTAATAAAGGATGAAGATTTCTTCCCAAGATAGTAGACGAAATAGAAAGTTGTGTAATCGTCCAAGAGTTCCTGTATTGCTGTCAAAACCTTTATCGATCCGGAAAGCTGAACACAAATAATGATGTCATCGTGACGTAAAGACCACGCCACTGATTTGTGAACGCGGGCTCACGACCGGTTTACGCGAAAGATTCAGCCATTTTGACTTGGGACGTTTGGTACAAACGGATACGACTTTCTGCGTCCAGCATGACTTCTAGAACACAGAGGGATAAAGGACAGAAACAGAACACAAATCAGGCTATTTTATCAGAGTTGCTGAAAGAGGAAGAAAATAGATACTGTGCCGATTGCGCGGCCAAAGGTAAGCTTCGTTTGGAATGTAAACTTGTACGATCATCATTTCCTTGACAGACTTTCTCTGTTTCTAACGCTCCTTATGCTTCCTGATAAGTGATTTGATTTTAAACTTCTTGTTTAGGGCCTCGGTGGGCGTCATGGAACCTGGGTGTTTTCCTATGCATTCGTTGTGCCGGCATACATCGAAATTTAGGGGTACATATATCGAGAGTAAAATCAGTGAACCTCGATTCATGGACTCCGGAACAGATGGACGTAAGTCGACGTTTTAACCAACTGTTTTCACATTTATGCTTGACTTGAATTAATTCCTATTTTGACGTATGTTTTTGTATTCAGAGCATTCAGCAGTGGGGAAATAAACGAGCAGCAGAATTTTGGGAATGTTATCTGCCGTCTGACTTTCGCCGTCCGCAAACTGACTCGTACCATTCAAAACTACCTCTCATAAATGTATCACTACGATTGTTTAGCCTTCTCTTTGTTAAATTTAGTAATCAGTATTCTTGTTTGCTAGCTAGTATGTTCTGTTTATTGCTCAAATTTCCTTAACTTTCTTTCGACAGAATTTTGCTTTTTGCTTGCGGTGAATTTGAACAGTTATTTTGATTAAACTCTGAAGTAATCTCTTCGAGGTCGTTTACCGTAAACACGATCCAATGACGGTTCATTCCATTTTCAATGCACCGATTATGAAACATGTTCGTTTTCGATTGAGGCGGAGCTGTTTGCGATTAGTTCTCATTGTGTTCTTGTAGTTATGCCTCTTACTGGTTGTAGTTTACGTGATACCGCTTGTTTCGGAGGCGATAACTGCACATTCCAATTCGTTTGCGTGCTGTGAAATTGAATATTTTACCGGCCGGTTAATTTAGTCTAATATCGTCTAATCTTTGCCACACTCGTGGAATTTTCTTTGGCACTTCGTCAATTTTTTTTTAAAAGAATTTGAGAGTTTTAAACGAGTGGTTACCCTATGCAGCTTTAACAACTACTTTGTACGATTAACGTACTCGTTCAGTTGTTTTCTCCAAGTTCGAAGCAACGATATTGAATTCATTTTGACTCGAATGGTGAATGGGCATTTTCTGGTAGTAAAATTGGTTGCCAAGAGTGACGTCTTTGATAGGCAATTTTTGTGGAAACAAATGTAGAGAAACCAGACTAATACCTTCTATGATAAACTCTATATGCTTTCTGTCAGAAGGAATGAAATACACTAGTGTTCGTTTTCGAAAATTGTTACATTTTACAATCATTTATAGTATAATTACGTTGAATACGTCACACTATATATTCTTTGTTTAAACATATTTGTTTACAGAACATTTTTGATCATTTTGTGAATAGGCTGAATGACGGCTGTACGTTTGCTGTTCCCTTTGTTGTTTTTCTTGTCTCCATTTGAATCTACAGAACAGTAGAGGCATTTATCAGGAGCAAATATGAACGAAAACAGTATTTAAAGAAAGATGGATTACCTCCAAATAGATCCACCCCAAGTTCTGCCAAAGAAACAAAATCTGCCGATAAGGTAACAACAGAGGCTCATCAGCTTCAGCATGAGAGAAGTCAATTGGTTTCTGAATCACCAAATTACTTCCCCTCCTCCTCCCTCCCCTCTCACCTTCTCTCCTTCCACTCTACAAAAAAAATTCACAGATGGTGGAATTTGGTTAGGAATCATGCAGATCTGTGGATGTGTAAAATACTGTATGGATTTGTGGCTTGGCTGTAAGTTTTGGTTAAAGGCAGTTTATTTTTTTCAGAAGTTTATATTTGGGATTTCAGATTGTTAGCCTTCGAGTTTGTTTGTCTCGGTTGTCACCAAGTTGTTTTGTATACTAACCTCAGTTGGTACTTTGTTTCTGAAACAGAAGAAAAGGAGAGACAAGAGAGAAGAAATTACCATAACTCCGCACAAAATTGAAGCTGAAAAGAAAGTAAGTTAGAGAATGAAAAATACTGAAGAATTCAGGCTTGGATTTGGCATGAACCTGTACCTCTTACTTTGGAAGTTAGACTTGTTCAGTTAGTGCAATCTAAACTTTCCTCTTTTTTAACATGTAGCTTTGGGGCTTGGTTGGTAACAGCACCTACGCATCATCTCAAGCCCCACTGAAACCCAAGTATTTTTTCAAGGTTACTTTATGCAATTCTGGCTTAAATTGCAAATTACCAAGAGTAAATAAATATGGTGTGTTTCTTAATGCATCTTAAAAGGCAATCTCTCTTTCCCCATCAGACTGTTCATATACTTCTCTTTTATTGAAATGGAGAGAAGATAGTATTAAAACTTAGTAGATCCAATGCAAACTATACTGCTCTGCTGACAAGTAGTGCAAACATGAAGGTTTTGCAATGCAGAGTGCCGGAGAAGTTGTTTAAATGTTTGTAGAGGTATATTGCAAAAGGTTGGAAGGGTGTGGAAGGAAGGGAGGCTTGCTGAGCTAATGGAGATAGAAGATTTTTAACAATCAATTTTTCCACCAATTTGTTTCTTTGCTTACATACTTTTTGTTATGAAAGGTTGCTCCTCCTGTCAGTTCAGTGGCCCAACCACGTCCACGCTCCCACCCTCCCCCCGTCAAAGCACCTGAGCCAGCCAAACCTGCTGCTCTGGTTGATCTACTGTCGTTAGACACCCCAGCACCTACCCCAGCACCTGCCCCAGCTCCAGCCCAAGCATCAGCACCAGTGAGTTCTGGTGGTTTGCTAAATTCTCTTGCCCAGCCCATGCCTGCTGCTTCACAACCTGCCAAGACTGGTTTAGAGAGTGAGGTAAAGGGTTTGAAAATTGGGCTCCTGACCAGCCAGAATTTGGTTTTTACTAAAAAGGAAGGGTCTAATATGGCCTCTTATTGATAGGGATTTTATGTTTTTCAGGGAGTTTGTTTGTTAGTGGAAGAAATATTGCTTGTGCTCTCTGCTTTGTTCATTATGTTGGTTGAGTTTTTTTTTATCTGGTTTTTTTGAAATTGAGATTTTACATGTGAAAGTTGTCATACTTTCCACCATTTGATATCTGTCTTATGACAAACTTCGGCATTGTAGAGGAATGAAAAAGATGTTATGTCCACACCATTGGACTAATTCAACAGTTAAGCACAAATTTGGCTCCTACTCTTGTCGCCTTTAGTTGCTTGTGACAGACCACATTTAGCTCTTTACATTCATTTATTTGTACATTTCTTTTTTGTTACAACCTGTATTTCGGTCATTTTGTTTTGTCCACCCTGTTTGTTTATTTTGTTTCATCACTTGTATTTGTTTTAGCTGATTGATTTTGGTGCATTTCAAGCAAATACCACAATTGACACTGGCTTTAGCCAATCACAGCAGGTAATGGTATTGCCGCTGCCATTTCTCATCACACCTTACTTTTGTCAAAGTGGTAATAGGAAATAATTCTTCTCTAACTCACTTTCCCAGTGGAGCAAAACTGACCAATTCCAACTGACAATCGCAACTTTAGTCTGACAGCCAACTAGGTGGCAAAAATTACCCTTCTCTTTCCACAAAACAGTCACTCGTAAGGTCAACAGTCCTAGTCAAGAACTACCTTCTTAAGGACTACACAGTGCATGATTTACTCTGAATAAAACACCTAGTCTATTTTGCAATATTCACACTGCCTCCAAGGAATTATTGATGTAGACAATTAATTTTGTTTCTTAGTTTTGGTAATGTTTCCATACTTTATTACTACCAACAGGTCAACACACAAGTACCTCAAGAATCAAATGAAGATTCCCTTCTTAAAGATGACTCTACAACCAATAAGTCAACCAAAGGTGGGGTAATAATTTGAATATATCAACAAAGTTGAAATGGTAAATTGGCCACCGTTACCATTATAAAAGCTGACATTTCGAGCGTTAGCCCTTCATCGGAGAGAATGGTGGGGCCGTTGTCTTTATCTCTTATTTTTAATTTGAAATAAACAGAGTTATTTTGAAATGTCAGTTGGCTTAGAGACACCAAAATGTGCTCATCTAATTGAGGTTTCATGCTTATTATTACTCATAAAGGGTGAAAGATCTTCAGTCCTTTTGACAACACATCAATGTGTTCTCAGTGTGCGATGCTGGCCTGAAGAATAGAATTAGTGGTGACAATGTTAGTGTGCCTTTTGTTTTGTCTTCCACCCAGATGATTAGGTTATTTACAAGTCCAGTATGCTGAGAGGTAATCAGCAGAGCCACTATCAAAGCTGTGGCCTAGCAGCGCCTGGTTGCCCCTGGCACCTTACTTTTGCTCTTGAGTTACTCAGGAATTTTAGTTTTTTCATAAAAAGCAAGTGCTGGGCACCCTGGATTTCACAGTTTCAGAGCACTGGGCTCCCTTCAATTTTCCTTAGAGCACAGCCTTGCATTATGATGACTTTGTGATTTCACTTGGTTACATTTGCATTTTATCATTTCTGTTGATTTTTTTCACAGACAGTATAATGGCACTGTATGCACCAAAGACACAGGGCAGTCAACCTCAGATGTTTGGTGTACCTGGTGGCATGTACATCCCTCCACAGCAACACCAGCAACAACCCCTTCCTAATCAGCATCCAGCTATGTTTAACAGGATGAGTGCAGTTCCCCCTCAGGGCATGGGTGCAATTCCTCCTCAAGGAATGCCAATGGGAATGGGAGTACCACGTCAACCAGCTTTCATGCAGCAGCAACAACAGCAGCAGCAACAGGTTTGTAATGTGTCTGCTGTCAGGTGTTTCTGTTCGTTAGTGGGAGCTAGGAGCAGAGTGCTGTCTTCCAAAATGGCGGTGTTTTCGGTGATATTTGAGGGAGGTGACCTGTCTTAGTGGAACCCTGTCAAAAGCTGGAAAGTTTAATGGTAATTTCCAAGTAGAAAACAAAGCCAAATGTGCATTGAATTGGTACAGAATATCACACAAAACTCCATTAGGTTGTGCCTTTTGATTACCAAAAGCCCTAATATCATGAAGGATTTGTGTAGTATGAAAAAAAAAAGTGGATTAGAGTTAAAGGAGTAAACAACTGTCAATAAAGCTCATGGGCTTGATTAATCTGGTTAAGGTCTGATTACCAGTTTTGATGGTGATTGTAAGAATTTTACTCAAGTAAAACATGTATTTTGGTCTGACTGGATGTTACATGGGTATTGAATTCAAAATACTGACCAGAATTTGGATTGAGTGCTATGTCTGTTTAAGAATTTGGGGTGTCATCAATTTTTTCCACTTGGCAAACAGGTGGCTCAGATTCAGCAACAAATGCAACAGATGCGACTCAAACAACAAATGCCTCCTCAACAGATGAACATGCCAAATGGAAACTCAAACATGTTTGCCTCTGCACAGCCACCACTTTCAAATGGCTGGATACCACAGCAACCAATGTCCTTCCCACAGCAGCAGCATCCTCAGTTTGTCACCACAGGACCTGTACCTAATGGCATGGCAGGCTACGGAGCTTATCCAATGGGATCGGTTCCTGGCTCGGGCCAAACTCTGAGTCATCAGTTGTGGAAATAAAGAAAAAATGAAGATGTTTTTTGATATGTAAATAATGATCATAGTGATATGATTAATAAATATCTTGTATATTTGGTTACCTCTGCTAGGTAACTGATTTCTCAATGTACATGTGAAGTTTAGAGGGGCCACCAGAGAAATATGGTTGCGTTAACTTGTATGTAAATCTATCTTTGGTGTAAGAACCAAGCCTTACCTCGAACCTCATCTCGTATGCTATTTTTCATTTTTTGGAGTAAGTTAGAGTTAAAGATTGTGTTGAATTTGATATTGTTAAACTAGAAGATGGGGCAATGTAAGACTAACTGATACATGTAAAGACCTTAGGTGATGGTCTGATAATATAATTATAAAATGCCATTTGCCTGAGAAGAAATATTGGAATCCTGTACATGTGCTGTAAATTCTTACACCATGCTTTCAGAATACTTTGGAGTTGCCTCCCAAAGGAACCCATCACTTACAAACCAATGTAGAAAAGAGTAAATGCAAAGAAAAACTGGAATGTCGTTTTTCAAGATTTGCAAGTAAAGTTTCTTTTAACATTTCATTTGTTTTGTATTATCCATGTCATTGTTGTAGAGATGATTTCTCTTGACTTGTCGGACAAATTTCACCTGGGAAAGCCATCACCATCATAGTAGTATTATTAGTATCATTTTTATTATTACTATTATTATTTTATTGTTTATTTTTCAAAGTTGCCAGTTTCAGGCTATTTCTAAAGTTCAGCCATGTCACGAAAAATTCAGAATGGCGACTTACCTAGTACTCTACCTTCTGGGCCAAGAAAAAAACAGGAATGTATAACCTCTCAAACCACTCTCGACTATTAGTTCATGTTTGTCAAAAACTCTTTGTACCCATCCATCAAAATCTTGTGTTGTTATGCATTGGGAAAGGGAGGGAAATTTTGGGTTGAAAGTTTTTTTTCAGAGAGCAGTGGGTGTATGTTGAAATTCAGTCATTAGTTGAAGTAACATTGTAGATAGGATTATTCCACTCTGATTCTTGGCTTAAAGAGATACTCTTCTCAAGCAGTGAAACGTGCAGTGTTAAAAAGTTTGGGACACCCCTGTCATGAACCCTTTTCATACCAATTTGTTGTAGCTGATGGTTGAAGCTATTGATAATGTTATTGTTATGGCAAAAGAGTCTGTCTTTGCTAAATGTAAGGTTTTTTTCATTTGTCATTTCTTGCCAAGTGGGAATAGTGATTATGCTTTAAAATTGTATCAAATTATCTGGAGTCATGTTCCTTGAATTGGCAGCTGACACTCTGTGTAGCATATATCTAATTGCAGCACCCATTGTTGGGGTGTTTAATTTTTGAAAACCAAAGTTGTTGACTTATTTTCATTTTTATTTGATCTTTTCTTTACACCTGAGTATATTTACAGGGAGTTGCCATTAACAATTTTGAAAAAATGCCTTCAAATTGGAGGAAAGCTTTGAAAGGAATTATAAATAACTCAGTAGATGGGCACAAGAGAATCATGGGTGCCAATAGATTTAAATTATTGCTGGCCAAGATTACAAGAGATTGATGAAGATGATAAACTTTGAATCTTGAACAAGAGATAAAAATGTTTATCATTGATAGAGCTTGTTTAAGTCCAGCTCCAAGACATGTTTTCTTCATACTTTTTTTTGTTTCATTTTCAAAATATGAGATCTTTGGGGGGAAAGCACTCAAAGATTTTCATTCAATGTCTTGTGTTCACAAATCATGGGGTGGCTAAATGATCAAACATTTACCTGTGAAGCAAGGTGTTGGATGAAAATGTTTGATCTAGATCAAACACAGGAAGACAAGACAGTTGGCTTAATGATCAAGTGTGATCTTTAATACATTGGATGAAAATGTTTGATCATGTGGCTAAGGCCTAAGTTCAGATTTATTCTGGTGCCTTGGGTAATGAGTGTGTTGGGGAATTTGATAGAAAGGTTTTAGGATTTTTGTGTTAAATACTCATCTTTCTATTTCTTACCTTTCCTGAAAGTATCAGAGATAAGCAAAGTAGGTGTTGATAAAAGTTGTTGTCAAAAATACTTGGAAAGCTCTAGGAAGGTCGTAAATCTTGTATAAGTATTGTAAAATAAGTAGTGGGTATACAGAATAAAAGCTTGAGAAAACATTTGGTGTAAGTGTAGTTTGGTGCTATTGCAAAGAATAGAGCCCCTTAGCCTGTATGTCTTTTTTACTGGTCTGGGAGGAATTCCCAAAGGAATTTGAAAGAAGCAGTTCCCTTGAGGAATATCACAAAGCCTATGTGTAGCTGTACCCTCCCCCTGAGAAGAAACAGGGAGAGGGTAGGGCTACACTAGGCTATCTATGACATAACCCCAAATGGGTAAACAATTTCAGGTACAAGCTAGAGAGGTCAAGGGACAACAGAGCTTTAACATGGCATTACTGGTCAGGCAGGTTCAACAACTGCATTCTCTTGGATTTCTTTATGCTTCTACACTGATGGGCATTTTAGTGGAAAAAAAGATGGCTTTTTGATGGAAACTTTGTTTATCGCAAGAGCACATTTAATTTATTCTTGCAGCTCATAATTTTTTGAAGACACTCAACATAAGAGACTCAGGGTGAGACCCTATCCCTGTTTTTTTTTTCTTTTTTCTTTTTTATCATTGCATCCAAATGTCATTGTTTTGGGCTATGCAGTAAATCTCCACCTCTTATACACTTTGGACTCCAATAGAAGTCCTTGAGCAGAAAGCAAAGATGTAAGAATCTGGTGGACATGAAGAACATACCACAAAACCTAGCTATTTCACAACAGAGCTTAAAAATTCCCACACTGGTATATACAGGCATTTCTTTGTGTTGGTAGAAAGGCCTCTACACTCTGGTCTTCCTTGAGGTAAACACAGCACAAATATTCGTGACTGGTTGACTCTTCGATAACAGTCAAAAATATATTCAAAAGGCCAAGGAGAACACTTCTATCTACAATAATTAAAAGGATTGATTGCCTCAATTGGCTGTAAATAAAATATTTTAAATCAGCTGGTTGCTTAATCAGAATGATACAATATATGGTATGAAAGTCCAAATCCTATAGATATCGTAATCTATAAAATTAATGGTTCTCTGAGATGTGCATCAAAAAATTATACTTGTCTACTTATGAGGCACTTTACTGGTTCTTGGCTGAAAAAACTCTTTGAGAATTGTTACCAGTAGATGGTGAATCTTGTCAGTACAAATTGGTACTCTAATATGTCAAAAACGAGTGCGAGTGTTTCAACAGGGGTTCCAAACACTGAGAAACAGATGAAAGCAAGAGGCCTTGTGCCTTTATTATTTCAAGGTGTTTGAAACCCCTGATAAAACACAAAGCAAGAGTTTTTGACATGACTTCTCAAACACACCTTAAAAATACAATGCAATAAAGCATGCAAAAATAATGTATTCCCCGCGTGAAAGGTAAATAGCTCATGCAAGTCTCTGCCTGTATTTTGAAAGCGGTTTGTCACATGTTAGCAGTGTTTCATTGTAGTTGATGGTTATGGCTGAGAAGTGAGAAGGAGAAAGGAAGACCAAGTTGTTTCCCTTTGCCGAAAAGTTCAGCTAAACAACTCCAAGAACAAGTCCTGGCCAATCAAGCTGTTCCATCTTCTACAAAGTACAAAAACAAAGAGGCTTTAAAAATATTTCAGAAATGGCAGCAGCAAAGGGAGATGAAAGTGCCGATTTTAGATTTTGGTGGTCTTTTCAAAAGACCACCGAAATCTAAAATCGGCACTTTAGAAGATTATGAATTACACAAGGTTAATCCTGTTAGTTGTGAAATAGAGGATATGGATGCCATATCTCTCAACTAATGGCTCACAAAGTTTGTAATGGAAGTTGCCAAAGATTCAGGGGAAAGGTATCCACCCAGAACTGTGTACAGGATAGTGTGTGGTCTGAAGTGTCATTTGGGAGAAAAATTCGGTGACAAGGTGTTGAATCCACTTGATGCTCACGTTGTGAATAACTTTTCGAAGTACGGTTGTGAATAATTTATTTTATGGTAATTGAGGTTGCCAATTAAAATTCAAGTGTCTTGATCAGTGTTTTCATCAGTTTTTAAACTAACCAGAGTAATCTTGATCTAGATTTTCATTAGGTATCAAGATACATGCACCTGACCAAAATGGGGCACTCTGATTGGCTTATAACTTTATGAATAATTAATAAGTTTGAGTAGTACAATTGACGATGAGAAGAAATTTTTCAAAAGTATTGTTAGAAGAGATAGTGAAGCTAAAAAAATAGGCAATCTCTTTGTTGTAAAAGTACAATCAATAAAACTACAAAACCCAGGTCATGTCGACCATCCTAGCTGCTGCGCAATTGAGAATGGATCCTCATTAACTATGGCACTTCCATATATCCTCATTCCACAAACATCAGATGAGGAACTTTGTACTCCTCCTCTGTCAACAAGGTGAGCCATAAAAGGCATTGCAATGTCACCTGTGTCCAAACTCTTGTTTTTCACCTCTTCAACTACTGCACTTTTTCTGAGTTTTCCCTTTTCAAGAGGTGGAAAGTGAATGCACAAGTTAAAACATTCTGCACCAAACTTGTTAATAAGTGCCTCCACAGCTTCACTGATTGCCTGCTTGAAGTTTTCATCAAAATTCCAAGAGATGACTTTGAACTCATAGCCACAAAATGGTACTATATGGGCAAACACACAAGCTTCTCCACACATCTTTGCAAGTCCAAGATTTCTGTGAGCAGTCACAAGATCATCAAAATAGTTACAGCCAGGATTTTCAGTTGAATAATGTTTTGCAGCCTGTTTTAAGCGCTCCCACTGCCCATAGTGGAAGTTCTCTGCTAGTAACATGTGTGAGTGCCCATGGTGCTGTGAAGCTCCTGCTCGAGCACGGCAATTCCAATTCATGATAGGGTAGATTGCCTGTGGGTTGTTTTTATGCGTGACTTCAAACCACTGAGTACACAAGTCCAAGATGTCCCACAGTTTTTTCTAAAATTGAATAATATAAAAATTAGAAATGAATTTTGTCTCATTATATCATACTCTGACCTGGCAAAGAGTCTTACCTTCCCACATAAAAAATTAAAGACAAAGCAATGTATGCCTACACTTAAGGATATTTAGATTGTGGAAATACATTGTCAAAGAGAAAAGTCTTTCAGCAGAATCTGTTTGGAATGATCTTCAATAAAGCTCCAAAAAGAAGTGGTAAAGTAATTCAAATCTTATGGCAAAAGATCAAAAATAGGATTCCTCATACCTTATCCATATGACTTGGTGGATGCTCTTTGAATACGACCATACTATGCAATCCATCATATTTTGCAACATTGGATGCTGTCAAACCACTTGCATTTTCCAGTCGACCCCACTGATCTGAAATCATATAATGTGATGTAATTCAGACTTTTTCAAGAGGATGATTACATTATCTGAACATCATAGTATTACCTGCAGCCGTATAATCAAGTGGTGTGCAGAAGTCACATTCCCGCACTTTGGAACCAAGAGGTATTTCCACGGATTCCGAGGTAATAGAGTTTGTCTCGCCATTGTTGAGCGGTCTAAGGGCTCTGGCACCATTAAAACAGGTTTGATTGCATGTCCAGCAGTCAAATACTCTGACTATAATGATGTAAAGAGAAAATCATATGGTTAACTGATAACGCACTACTTGAAGAGAAAGTGCTATTCCAGAAAATAGCAATTCCTCTTTCCTTGCATGGTTCAAACTTTCCCCCAATTGTGCCATTACTCCTGCAAACTCCTGATAGACTAGCTAAGTTTTTCAAATACAACAATTTCAAAACTACTGTTTGCTCAAATCTAAGATGAGAGATTTTTCACCTGAATTTTCCTGTAGGTGTTTTCTACTAATGCCCTAACAGACATGACTGAATCACATTAGCTGCACACCGGTTCTGTCAAAACTCTTTGGGCTTTCAAATCATTAACCTTTCTGTGCCATGATCTCAATTTTTATTTTTTTTATTCAGGCATCGGAATCTCTATTTCACTCCTATCTAGAGCCTGCCTCTAGGAGAGGGGTAAGTAGTGGGTAGCATATAAACTCTAAGTATTCTAGTTTAGTAGGTAAAGTTTGGTCCTCTAGCTAGAGAAATTCCACATTTCTACGAAATCTGTGAAAACCAACCTACGGTTTGATATTCCGCTCTATTGATGGATTGATTATCATTTATGTCGCCTGGGAGCTTGAACCACCGAGTCAGTTTTTCCTCAAACTTTTTGGGTATAGTCATTCGACTAGACTGCGTTGATACCCTGAAAATTCGATTAAATGGATCCCATGTCTCGCAGTTTGCTCCTCTATCTCCGCTTTTGAAAAAATCTCCCAGCTCTAAGATAGATCTGACAGTTTTCCTCGTCATTCTGTGAAAGCTGTAGCTCTCCGCGGTGCAAATTTTAAGGAAGCCGGTAGTCAACGTGGAAATTTGAACGCCTGCTTTCTATAGCTTTTCTGCCAGCAGATGCACTAGCTGAGCATGCGTTCATTTAACAATAAATCAAGATGGCGTCTACAGAAGAAGTTTTGGTTTGGACCCCAGAACTCGAAGTCAGTTTGTTTCATTCCATGAAAGGACACAAACCAGTCGGTGAGTCTGTGTTTTATTCACAAACGGAATTTTCCTCCTTGAATTTTTTTAAAGAGTCTTTTCTCGTTTTTTAAAGGAATAAATCGACATTTTCATATGGCGTGTATTCACGACAAATTTGCGACGTCAACTGGCAAACGAAATATTTCTTCGAAACAAATCTGGGAACACTTACAAGAGTTGTACAATCTCCAAGCTTTGGTGAGTAATCTTGCCAGGAAAATTTTCCTTTATCTTACGTTGTGTATGAATTTAAGGAAAATCTAACCCCAGTACTATTTACCGACGTTCGTAGTTTTTGCTTGAAATATCTTCACAATATGCAGAGATGTTTTATTTAAGTGCGGGGAAAATTCTCTTTCACAATTTATTAGTCCTGAAGTTATTTCTGGGATGTTTTGTTCTTTATTTCTCTGCTTGTTCAGGGTGAGCTGCGAGTGGGCGCTACCCAGCTAAAAGCGTACTTTCTCTTGAATTTGTCCTTCGGCGAATGTTTTGTTTAACAACCGAGAGTGCACTGGGTACTAAATAAGAAAAGCAGGAATTGTGAGAAGGGAACGAGAACTGAGGGACGGAATTTTTTTATTAAGTCAAAATTTCAGGTTTTATTATTTCTATTGAAGGAAAGGAGGAGGAAACTTATGTTTTTCTTTTTTTTATTAACACAGGATGATCTTGAGAATCTCCCATTTCCAAATGAGGAAACAGAATTTAATTTACCTGATGAAATATTTGAGTCTAATGCAAAGCCTCATTCATCGGCATCTGAATCCTCTGCTGTGGCAGATGAAAGCATGACAGGTAAAGAATATGGCTTCCTTATTTGACACTTCAACTTCTAAGAGTGACTAGCATCTAATTTCTCCTTACAATATCACCCCTGAATCACACATTAAGGTCAGGAGAATAAAGGAGATGATCCCCAATTAACAAAGTTCTTGATTGCTAAACAAATCCTCCTTGCCAGCACTGTTTGAAATGTATAGAGAACAGTTGGGAGAAAATGCAAACTGATATTAGGGACTGAAGGGCTAAGTTGTTTTTCAATTTTCTTTCTTTTTTTTTTTTTTTAAATCATAAATGAAAATGAAAAAAATTGGTTTTTCTTTCCAGTAGAAATTGTGATTTCAAAATTATGTACTGAGAGGAACCATGATTGATAAATAGAATATGGTACCCTAGAATTGCACTTAAACTCCAAATAAATTTTATCTTGCTTTTGTGTACATTTGTTTCTGTTAAATTTGATAAAAATGCATTAAAAAAGTTACAACCTAGTGTGAATCCTGGATAATCAAATTTTATCGTAGTGATCAGTTGTTTTGACAAGCAAAGGAAATGTGGAAAAAAATCTTTTAATAGAATTTATTCCATATTTTACTCAAGGTTTAAGAGCAAAATATTTTATTTCATATGGTGAAAAAAACCTAAAGTAAAAAAGATGAATTAAGGTGCTTACCCAAGTTGGAAAACTGAAAAGAAAAAACAGTTGAAATAAAGTAAGATAAGGTTCAGATTTATATCCCTATTCTATCTGGATATTGTCCTCACTCCCTCATTTCCCAGATCTTGACTTTTTTAAAGTTCTTGTGTGTAAAACATTCCTTTCAATGTTAGCATTTACAATTTATTTTTTAATCACAACAGCCCCCTCATTAATAGATTTCTTTATTCTCATCACTGATGTTCCTGATAGTGTATTGAGATTGTTAGGAGAAATTCCTTATGGATCTCTCCTAAGAGTGAAAGGGTCAAGAAACCATTGATATCATTAAAATGACCATATCTACAAATTTGTTTCATGAAAGTTCTTTCACCATTCAACCTCTTAGAGCGACTAGCTCCTAATTTCCCCCTACAACATCACCCCTGAATCAAACATTTAAGGTCACGAGAATAAAGGAAATGATCATAGATGAAAGAAGCTTTAGATTTGTTAATAGGTTCCCCTTGTCAACACCATAGGAAATGTATAGAGAACAGTTTGGAGAATATGCATACTGATGTTAGGGTGTCAAGGGTTAATGCCTATGGCTTGTGACTCAGAAATTTTCTTTCTTATTATTTTGCACTATATCCAGTCCTCATCTATCTAGGGTGACTTTTTTTCAAATAAATCAGCATAATTTTTTTGAAGACTGTAAGTTCCCTAATAGGAGATTGTGATCTTGATTTTAGCTCTTCTTAAACTCAAACTTCAAGGGTTGGCCAGTAATTCACCAAGTGCATCCACTCCTGATTCGTCTCCCAAGAGAAAGAGGACACGACAAGTGAACAGTGCAAGTTCATCGCAACCGTCATCTCCTCATCCTCCTTCATCCGCCAAGAGACGGCGGTAACAATGTAATCTCTGTTGAGGTTTGATGTACAGTTCAAAGAAGTAAATTATATGTATCAATTTCAATAATTGCTATCATGTGATGATAACTTATTGAAGCCATAATTAAAAATTAAAAGGTTGTTATTGCTTAGTAAGCAAGAGAGGCCGACTTTTTTTTTTATTTCACAAAATTTTATTTTATATATATCAAGGTGAGAAATCTTTTGATTGTTTGGTGTTTCAAGTGTTTCTCATTGATTTATGTCAATATTTATTAGTTCATTTCTTACTTTTCACATTGAATGTTGAAAATACCTAAACTATTTCTGGAACCTAACTCTGGAAATTGCTGAAGAGGGGGAAGAATTATTCTTCTCTTTTGCAAGTTCTCTGTATAAAAAATTTAATGTAGCAGTGTTCTGCTTTTCAGGCGGTAACCAGTAAAATTTACTCCCTCCAATACCTCTTTCTACCTTCTAAAATTGTTTGAAATTCTTGAAAGTTCAACAGATGAAAGGATTGTTCCAGCAATTTCAAAAGCCTAACCCTATAACTCCCAGATGCAATTAACATGTAATTTCTCTTAGTGATATCCATAAATTATCCAGCAAACAGGCAATGAAAATACCCAAACTTATCAGGTAGTAGTTGTTTTGATCTAACACCAAATTCTCCAAATGGGAGAATTAACAATCAGATCTTGGGAGTTAACCGGTCGAAATGAGGTAGAACACTGGTGCAGTGTTTTCTGATTTTCTCATATACTATTTTGATGGACATTATAAGGCAATCAAATCTTAAGTTGTTTTCAGTATTATGGGTGTTTTTAAAAGTTTTGACAAAGAGGTTTGCCCTTTCTGGTTGTATGTGTACCTCCATTGTCATATCCTGTTAGAAGGAAGGTCCAAAAGTAGGAGTTAACACTGTTAACCAGAGTTTCTCTTGGAGTATTGATTTTCCAAGTACGCAGAAATGCAAGAATCTTTATTATATATGTATATAACATAGAAGGTACTATTACATGTAAGGAATTTATTAATTAAATCGCCACAAACTTAAAAAACATTGTCTGCCATTCTTTATAAAATAATTATTGTGATGCAAGCGATTGGTTGCCATTCATTTTAGGTGTGCATCTTGAGATCAAGATCGTTTGCAGCTCAAAATTGGCCTAAATCTTTTCATTTTCTTCATTTGCAAGAGGAATAGTTTCACTTTTAAAAACTGCATTGTGGTATCCATCAATCTATCTAACCTTGCTTTTTAAGAATAATAGACAAATGATGACTTGTATTCTAGATTCCCTTGTACCTTGGGCTGTCACATAATTTTATGACTACATTCTTTGGATGTGGGGAAGAAATGTTGAGGATTACGAGCTGGCTAATGTTACTATGGCATGCTCACTCTCCTCTTCACCTCTTTTGGGACAGAAGGCCAGTCCTTCCTTTTATCAGCAAACTGCTAGCCACATCTAACTTGAACTATGGCTCAGAGCCCCCTTAGAAATTTTCTTCATTATAGATCATAAGTCTTTGACAGTATTTCCTCTTTTATTACTTATTTTGTTGATCCATGAGCCATCTTTCCACCTGCTGGATTTTTGTGTGCATCCAGTGAATGTTTGTTTCAATTGTCTCCAGAATTTTCTTACTGGATAACTGAATCAGGTGCATTTTGCGATGTGCCTCAAAGAAATCTTTGACCTGCAATGAGAATGTTAGAGTGGAGAAGTGGCATCATAAATGTTTAGGCAAAGAAAAACATTGATGTGAATTGCTAAAAACAATCAATTCAGAGAGGACACTGCAAGGCAGCATGCCGTGCCTCTTAGGATCTAAAAATTGAAACCAATCATGCTTTGGTTACTTGCCTTTTAGGCAATAAATTGTGTCCACTTCACTTTCTCATTGGCTCTCTTTAATAGTACTCTTCGATTGAGTGGCAAAAGAAATTTGCGATTACTTTGCTTCTACTTCGCAGCGCTCTATGATTGGTATAGAAAGCGCGCACTTCTCAACCAATCAGATGCAGCACTAAAACCAGTCGCAAATTGGTTCCTCGCGTTTTCCCGTGCTACAGGCAGTATGCTTGTTTTTTCAATTCTTCATTGGTTCCTTGTGATATTTTCATATTTTCCATTATTATGATTGGCTGATGTGATAACGTAAGTTGTGGTGTTACAATGGGCAACCGATCTACACTCAGCTCTATGTAGGGCGTTTATTGTGAGAGTGAAACTCCTTCTATTTACTAACACAACAACTTTCAACAGTTATGTAGTGGTAAAAGAAAGAAAGACTGTTTCGTAGCTGCTAAAACAACATAACTTTGTTGAAAGTTCTTTTTTTTTTTACCTCTCTAAGGTCTTTTCGCGTTCTGAGATTTTCTGTCGTTTTTTCTAAAAGAAATGAGATTGTTCTTGATTCTTTACCAAACCTAAGGGAAAAAAGTGTTTTTCTTAAAAATAGGGTATGACTTAGAGATGTTAGAAAAGTGGAGTACTTTTTTTCACGGACTTAATTAATATAAATAAACCGCTTCCATCACACGTTGTTCAGTAAAAGACCACAGACGTCTTCAAAATATATTTAGGGAGAAGAGAGGCGCACGAGGCAGCGGTGACTGTGTTACGGATGTTCTTTCTCCTGCGACCTGGGGCCCGTTTCTTGAAAGTCCCGGTAACTTAATGGGTCCGTAAAGCTGTTCTGTTTTCACTCATGATAGAGATTTCAAAGTTTTAAAAATGATACAATAAAACTATCAGCTAAAGAAACAAAAAGGACTGGTTTGAGTACCAGATCCTGCTCTCCCATCCTTTAAATTTTGATTTAGAAACATGACTTTGGGCCCGTTAAGTTACCGGGTCTTTCGAGAAACGGGGCCCTGATACGAAAACAGGCACACGGCAACATGGAAATTTTTATGTTTAAATAAAGAAGCAAATTTGTTAATGGTGACGTCATTTATGCTCTGTCTTCCGATAAGCATTAAAAAAGCGCATGTATGATTAAGCTATAAACTATATAAAATAAAATGGCGCGCACTTAAGAAGATATCAGGAGATCATTTTATGATAGCCTCGAGGAAGGGTAGTATGAAAGGAAACTGCTTTTGATGTTGCAGTCACTTTACCTTTTTACGATTTTTTTGAAGTTCTTGTGAAAGAATTTCCACGCAAGCAGTCGCCCATCAGGGTTACTTGCCACAGTGCCAATAATTTGAATTAAGTCTTGACAGCGGACCTCGCTTCCGCTCCCCAAAGCTTTCTTTAGTAGTCTATTACACAGAGGAAGACATTAAAAAGTTTCATGATTAACTGTTCTAGAACGTCTGATCGGAATGAAATTAATGGAGCATTCACTCTGAAGTCAACCATTAAAAACTGCACGCAATTATTTCATTTATTAGGGTTGTAAATGACATGCACTTCTCTACTCTGCGCGAGTGATCTACAACAGTGCGTCAGAGAGGAGACATGCAAGACTTAGTTTCGCCCTTTCATGTGGCTCTGCAACTTACTAGTGTCCAGTCTATTTCTAAATCTCTCAGAAAATTTGAAAGTATGATCACCGTCATCATCATTATCATTGTCATTCTTAAGTGGGGTTAAACGAGCTCATCCTGAATAAATTAATGCATTAAAACATGCATACATGAACGAATGAAGGAACAAATAATGCAGGTTTTGAGCTACTTACCTTTTCAAAAGGTTTTTAACCCGTGTAGCACCAAGAGCAAAGATGATCTTTTCTCTCTCTGCTGCATTTTTGCATTCCTTGTATTTTGTCCATAGAATTTCCCACTCGATTTGACCACCGTATTTTACAGCTGTGTAGTAAACAGTCTTCCTAAGGTGTGGCACAATGGGCTTACTTCTATAAAACAAGCACATTTCATAAAGTTAATCATTAACTACGAGAATATAGCTAACCCATCAAACAAACAGTTGGGTTTCCCCGTCTAATTGTTCGATTTATGACTGTTACACCACATATATGGCAACCGCTTTCTAGGAAGAAACAAAATGGCGCTCGAATTTAAATGGACTACTTTTATGGGAATGTAGAGTCTTAAGTGAAGTTAGACTGATAGAATGCGTACAAGCTGTTTACCGCCTTGAGAAATGGCTCATGGTTTTCCCTTAGAATGTGAGTTAAGTCTTGTTGGTTCTTCTCATGAATTAGTTTTCTTCCTAGTAAATCCGTGTAAGATATGGTACAGTTTACTAGAGTTCACAGTAGCTAGCAATTGCACAACAAGAGGATAACGACATTTAAAAAAAAAAAAAAAACACGCATAGAACGGATAATCTTTATGCTATTATATCTATAGCTTTGTGTCGCTAAGGTGATCTATTTTGTATTATTATCTGTATGTTCAGTTTACGTACTGACATAACAGTAAACCGTTAGTAAGGTGATGGACAGAAGACTGATCCCTCAATCCATGGACTACCCCGATGGACAACCCGAAAATGGACGTTCTTTAAACTTACTGTGCAAGTGCCTTCTTTCTTTTCATCAGTCGATGCAATGAATTATTATCCAACTGTCCTTCGTAGAGTACAAATAACGCGCGAGACGAGTACAGATATCACGCGATATTTGTACTGTCTCCAGAAATATCCGCGAAATTCGCCTGCACTGAAATAACAATTTGGCGTGTTGGATAATAAATCTCTTATTAGACGTTTTGTTGTGTAGTATCGCTGAGTATTGTTACTCGTTGTTTGTATTTTGATCCACCCCCCCCCCCTTTTTTTACGGGCTCGTTAAAATACGGCAGAACTCGTTAAAAATACTCAGCGATACTACACTACAAAATGTCTAATAAGATATATTTATTTTGTTATGTATGCAGTTTCATCGTTTTTCTTTTAAGTCAAACCTCAACTTCGAGTCAGGAGTAGAAATGGCAATATTTCCTTTCATCAGTCTCCATGGTTTCATAATCTTATAATTGTACTTGTGTCCACAATTCGACGTGTCGGGTTATGCAGGATGACGAAGTGGTCACGCGGTCACTCTTCCTTCCCGTAAACGCGGTGCTAAATCTCTCTAATAATCGCCTAAATTACGCGGTGTTTGTTGATTTAGGGTAGTCCATCGGGGTATTCCATGGGCTAGGGGCTAGTGTTTTGTCCATCACCATCTCGTAATGGCGTTTTGATGTTTTACTGTTATCTTCTCCTTCGGGTAATATGAATCAAGCTAATTTGAGGCCAGTAAAACGTAACGCACGCACGCAAATAACGTAACTTTCTATGTTATAAGAAAGGGATTAAAAGTATAGTGATTTATCCTATTAATGTCATAGAAACATCAGGAGGACTGAACACATTTCTTTTCTTACCCATTGACCATTAACCAGTCGTTAAATAACTTTTTGGACTTGTTTACGCACTCTGTGTCACCGTGTGAACACAGAGTAGAGAGAGTCAGATCGCGAAGAGACCTAAAAAAAAATGAGAAAAGAAATTCTTATTATTCAGCAGTATCCTCAACTTTGTTTAAATCGACTTAATTTCAAAATAAATCGAGTGATACTGGACTGTAAAAAGTGTTTTTATTTTCCGAATCATTGCTTGCAAAGAGTGAAGCGCAGAATCTGTGGGTTGTCGCATGAGAGCACTCCAAGCCTCGCAATCCCGCACTCGTGTCACAAATTATTTCCGTGCAAGCAGTCTTTGAAGGTTTGATTTGATCGAACGTAAATTCTTACTTGTCAATTAGTTCGCCAGTGTTCTCCCATCTAAGGATCATTCCCAAATGCTTTATTTTCTCCACGATGAATTGCTTGTTTCGATCAAAAAAAAAATAATAAAATAAAAGAACTTCCAGTTAGCACAAACAGAAGATAATACTAGTACTTACTACAATAAATACGAAGAATTTTCTTTTCAGAATTAAATTTCAAATAGTGAAAAGAGAAAAAAAAAATAACGAATCTTCGTGAAGGCGTTCGTGATTTTCCGACATTTTCTTCTCCTGTTAAAGAATAACATGACATTACTGATCCTCACAGTGTTACCTAGCTACGACGTCAATCGGAGATATTCAGATATTTCCGAGGAGGATGAACCTCTTTTGTATGTTATGCAGTCTTCCATAGTCGTATCTTTGTTTGCTTAGGCTTGGTCAAGCGATAAAGAATTCTTTTCTGGATTCTTGGGTTGAATCCATCAATGACCATTACCTGGTACAACTTGAAGGCAGCTCTTGGGTTTAACATGTTTCCAGTGTAAGCCAATGATCGCAGAGTGACTGCCCATGGAACATACTCAAGTTCGTGGTTTAAGTACTCAATCATCTGCAAGGCGGTTTTGTATTCTAGTACGCCCGCTCTGAAGGAAGAGAATTTAGATGATGAAAGTTACATTACAACACATTCCTAGAGGTTAGGTCTCTTTAAAATGATCATCTCCGCTACATTGCTCGAGAGTTAACTTAGATGAGATTCCTCAACGAAAAGTTATTATCGAAGCCTATCGTCTATCCTAGATTTTTTAAACTCAATCCCGATTTTGAAAATCAATCCTGTTTGTAGAATTTTACGAGGTAGACGACCCGTGCGAAGTCTTTACTGTTCACTAAAACATATGTGGATGGTTATTTACACGATCTTACCCAAACCGTGGTTTTCGCAAACAGTTGGCCTTACGTATTCTATATAAGAAGGTTGTTTTCATTAAATGAATGTTCTCCCACTGTTAGCTTTTGGCCCTCTTGACACTGTTGTCAAAAGGAAATGTTCAGGTAAAAGATTCACCAAATTCAAGAAAGTTTAGAACGCGGTTTTGTTGAACAACGGCTAAACTTTATTTAAATAACCGGAATCCATGAGGAAAATAACTTGCGATGATGATATTTATTTAAAATAACCGAAGTCCATCAGGAAAATAACTTGCGATGATGATATTCCCTAATCACAGCAGGTAACCTGGAGTCTTAAAATAACTTGCGGGGCATTCCCTGTAGAATAGCCCATTTCCGAATTACCCTTGGCCTCTTTTTCAAAACGAGGCCGGGTGCTCAACCACTCTTGTGAAAATGAGTTTAATTTGTATGTGAATGAAAAATTATTATCATATGAAAGGATGAGCATCAGGACTCATTTTGTAAATGAGGCCAAGGGTAATTCGGAAATGGGCTATATGGCTAATATGAAGCATTCTGTGTCTTAGATCGATCATCTCTTGGCAACACACTACTCAAAAGAAAAACAAACATAAAACAAACTAACTGACAAAACAAAACAAAACAAGAATAAACAAACAAAGAAGAAGCCGTAGCGATGAAATCACGTTTCCTTTTACTTTGCTAAACTCAGTGCATCGTCTATCAAACCACTCCTATCTGATGGACTTAGTACCTTGAAGAAAAAAAAAACATGGAAGTCAGTTGAACCAGAGTCTCACGGTAGGTAGCCTTGGTTCCCCAACATGCTCGTAGTTTTGTTTCTATCTCGCCAAGTGCTATGTTTCTCGCACAACTTTAGCTTTCCTTTAATTGTCACGTTTGTAACCCGCGCAACTTTCGCTTTCCTTTCATTTGATTATAACGTTTGTATCTCTCCCAATTTAAGTTGTCATATCATTTGATTTTTTCGTTGGTATCTCGCGTAACTTTAGCTTTCCTCCCATCTGATTGGTTCGTTTGTATCTTACGCAACTTTAGCTTTCCTTTCATCTGATTGCTATGTCTGTATCTTGCGCAACTTCAGTTTTTCTTTCAGTTGATTGATACGTTTGTATCTCGCGCAACTTTATCTTTTCTTTCAATTGATCGTTACGTTTGTATCTCGCGCAACTTTAGCTTTCCTTTTATCTGATTGATTTGTTTGTCTTGCGCAACTTTAGCTTTCCTTTCATCTTTTTCTTGTTTGTATCTCGCGCAACTTCAGTTTTTCTTTTAATTTGATTGTCACGTTCGTAACTCGCGCAACTTTAGCTTTCCTTTCATCTGATTCTTACGTTTGTACTTCGCGCTACTTTAGTTACTTTTGTAGATCGCACAACATTAGCTTTCTTTTCATCTGATTGTTCTGTTTGTATCCTGCGCAACTTTAGGTGTCCTCACATTTGATTGTTACGTTTGTATCTTGCGCAACTTTAGTTTCCTTTTCATCTGACTGTTTTGTTTGTATCTCGCGCAACCTTAGCTTTCTTTCCATTTGATTGTTTCCTTTGTATCTCGTGCAACTTTAGCTCTCGTTTCATTTGATTGTTTTGTTTGTATGTTGCGCAATTTTAGCTTTCCTTTCATCAGATTGTTTCGTTTGTATCTCGCGCAACTTTAGCTCTACTTCCACCTGATTGTTTCGTTTGTAGCTCGAGCAACTTTCGCTTTCCTTTCATTTGATTGTTTGGTTTGTTTCGCGCGCAACTTTATATTTCCTTTCATTTAATTGTTAAGTTTGTATCTCGTGCAGCTTTTGCTGCTTTCTATTTATTTGATTGTTATGTTTGTATCTCACCCAACTTTAGGTGTACTTTCATTTAATTGTCATGTTTGTATCTCGCGCAGTTTTGGCTGTCCTTTTATTTGATTGTTACGTTTGTATCTCGTGCAACCAAAGTGCAACTTTAGCTTTCCTTTTATTTGATTGCTACGTTTCTTTTCATTCAATTGTGTTGTTTTTATCTCGTGCAACATCACCTTTTTTTTATATAATCATTAGGTTATTATCTTGCGCAACTTAAGCTTTTCTATCATTTAATCGTACGCCTGTGTCTCGCGCAACTTTAGCTTTCCTTTCAGCTGATTGTTACGTTTGTATCTCGTGCAACTTAAGTTTTTCTACTATTCGATTGTTACGTTTGTATCCCGTGCAACTTTAGCTTTCCTTTCATTTGATCGTTACATTTGTATCTAGCACAACGTTAGCTTTCCTTTCATTTGATTTTTATGTTTGTATCTCGTGCAGCTTTAGCTGCTGTCTATTTATTTGATTGTTATGTTTGTATCTCGCCCAACTTTAGATGTACTTTTATTTGATTGTTATGTTTGTATCTAGCGCAGATTTGGGTGTCCTTTCATTTTATTGTTACGTTTGTATCTCGTGCAACCTAAGCTTTTCTTTCGTGTGATTATTACGTTTGTATCTAGCGCAACTTTAGGTGTACTTTCATTTGGTTGTTACGTTTGTGACTCGCGCAACTTTAGCTTTCCTTTCATTTGATTGTTACGTTTCTATATCGCGCAAGTTTAGTTTTTCTTTTAATTAATCGTTACGTTTGTACATCGCGCAACTTTAGCTTTCCTTTCATTTGATTGTTACGTTTGTATCTTGCGCAATTTTAGCTTTCCTTTCATTTTAACTGTTTCGTTTGTATCTCGCGCAATTTGGCTGTCGTTTCGTTTGATTGTTACGTTTGTGCCTCGTGCAACTTCAATTTTTCTTTCATTTGGTTGTTACGTTTGTATCGCGTGCAACTTTAGTTTTCCTTTCCTTTGATTGTTTCGTTTGAATATTGTGCAAGTTTAGCTTTCCTTTCATTTGATTGTTACGTTTGTATCTTGCGCAACTTTGGCTTTTCTTTCATTTGATTGTTTTTTTTTCCATCTCGCGCAACTTTAAGTGTCCTTTTATTTGATTGTTTGTTTGTATCTCGTGCAACTTTAGGTGTCCTTTTATTTGATTGTTTCGTTTGTATCTCGCGCAACTTGGCTGTCGTTTCGTTTGATTGTTACGTTTCTGTCGAGAAACTTTAGATGAGCTCTCATTTGTTTTATACGTTTGTGTCTCGCGCAACTTTAGCTTACCTTTCATGAAATGTCACTTTTGTATCTCACGCAACTTCAGCTTTTGTTTCATTTGATAGTTTTGTTTTTATTTCGCGTAACTTTAGGTGTCCCTTCATTGATTGCCTGTTTGTATCTCGCGCAACTTTAGGTGTCCTTTCATTTGGTTGTTACGTCTATATCTCGCGTAACTCTGGCTTTCCTTTGATTTGATTGTTACGTTTATCTCTGGCACATTTTAAACTTTTTTTCATGTAATTGTCTGTATCTCTCGCAAGTTTAGCTGTCGTTTCGTTTGATTGTTACGTTTCTGTCGAGAAACTTTAGATGAGCTCTCATTTGTTTTATACGTTTGTGTCTCGCGCAACTTTAGCTTACCTTTCATGAA